TTCTGGGCCACTGCAGTAATAACTACACTACAAACCCACAGTGGGCGTAAGGTTTGCCAAGTTTAACAGAAGTAAAACACACAAACACCACACACAACCGAACACATGGAGAAACTACAGGATCCATGGTCCCAGTGTTTAGGTGAGTATAATTATTAAGTCCATGAGATGTAATGCTCATGCGCTCTCGTGAAAAAAAAAACAAAAAAAAACCGAGTTTTTGGACTGGACCACTACCCAGCATATTATGATTGTGTTACAATAAGTGATGGTGTCTCTATCCCCTCCTCAAGTCCAGTTATTGTATAGCTAGTAAAGCTGCCTGTCGTGACAATGCTTCCCCTCATCCTCATTAGAAAGGCCCCGTGAGGTGTCTCTCGACACTGGCCCAAGAACCCAGTCACCACCATCCACTGGGGAGTGGGGACACTACATGCATGGTGACAGTAGTGGCGTGACTGTTGAGTTTGAAATTCACTGAAGCAGCTGGTGTAACTGTGCTGGAGCAAAAGTCAGAGTACATGAGTAATGGTGATGATGCGGCACACAGAGCAATAGGTTTGTGTGTGGTGGCTCATTGTAACTGAAACACCTACCTGTGGTAAATTATGACTACATAACTAACACCACCATGGTGCCACCATAAAGCAACCAGATTATGTGGCAACAATGGATATGGTGCCATTGGTGAACCATTCAAGGGCGCTGCTCAGATCACATTACATCTCCAGATATGTGATGTTCCCTACAGTGAAATGCTAGCCAATTTGAAAGGCTACTATCTCAAATCAGAACAAGCACCATAAGGGAGATTCCTCCTAATGGGATCGTTCTGACGAAAATTATTGATGGTGTAATGAGTTAGAGAGTCTTCATAGAGTCTGGAAGCTACATAAGATGAACCTTAGAACGAAGTTTTTGGATGAGAAGTCCACAGAGTGCAACCATTGAACTGCATGCTCTACATGATTATTGAATTATCTTGTGTGGCAGCATCACCATCATCAGATTGTACAGAAAATTGTACAATTCAGATGACTAGGTTAGCCTGCCTTTGTGTACATTTTGCTTATACTTCGAAAAGAGCTCTGTGGCTGATTATTTTCACATTACTTGTCAGGAATTCATTTCGGAGGGGGGCGAGGGTGGGGAAGGCCCCATGTCCCCTTGATTATATCTTGCCCCCTGGAGTTTAGCAGACACAGGGCTTTGCCCCCTCTTTTTCATAACTACTCATTTTGCCCCTGTTGGATCAACCTCTAATGAACACCTGTTTGTGTGTCCAGGAGCTCATAGCTGGTGGTGTTGCAGCTGTCATCTGATGGAAGGTTCAAAAGTTCACCTGCCATAGTCACCGTCTGTGTCTCCGTGGAGCTGTACGTTTAATTGTGTCGGACCGACTGTGGGTGTGGCCAATCACATCATACCCCCCACCAGCTTCGAAGTTTAAAGGGTGGAAAGCATGTAGCTATATGCGTACTCCACCATAATTTCTATAGCTGTTGTTTGTTCCACTACACTATTTCGATTTTCACATGGATTTTTGATGCCTAACTGATGATGGTCTGCGTGACTGAATGTATTATGTTTCTGAGATCTACTAATTCTATTAACTTTGTCACACTACAGTTTAATATTATCTCTCTGTTTCTTACAGTGTCAAGTCCACTTCAAGATAAGCTCAGCAACTGGGATACCTTCAGCTACCTAGCTACCACAGCTTTTTTCTAAGGGAGGAAGAAAGCTGTGGGTGGAGCCAAACTTTAATCAAGTGCTGCAGGTTGTATTTTGTGATTTGAAGGTGGTTAAAAAAATTGGTGGGCAGTTCATCCACTGCAGTTTCAGCCTTTATTTTTTTATATTTCCATAAATAGTTATGGATTGAAAAGCAAGTCAACAAGAAAATAGTGCTGGCTGTGTGTGTGTGTTATGCTCATATTGGGTTGAAAGATGGAGTGTCCAGTAAGAAACTGTGAGCAAGCTAGCGAGAAGCCATGCCTAGACTCAGTTTATCTAAACATGCATATGGGAGAAGCAACACCCGCGTGAGTGCGCTTTGGATTTGCGCTTTAATGCTACTGAAATTGAAATTTGAAAAACTTCTCCACAATAATTGCCAGTTTATATGGTAGATATACATTGCACACAAACTTTGCAAAGAGTAAACAGGGGGAAAGGTTTTAGGCATAATTTGTAAGCGTTTCGTGTCACTTGAATATTTGAACTCGATTGTTTCCAGTGTCACTGACAAAGACATAGCCATCATCTCTGACAGCTATAGCATATGGGTCATTGAACTCTCCATCTTTGTTCCCTCTCTTCCCCAGTGACTTAACGTACTTGCCATTCTCATCAAATACTGATACTCTGGGATAGCTTTGTTCAACCACATACACCCAGTCATTAGGTCCAACTGCCACACTGATTGGTCCTCTCAGTCCCTGTCCTGCTACAGTGTGAGTGATGGATGACAGATGATGGCCATTGGCATCGAAAATCTGAACTCTCTTATTCAAATAGTCGGCTACTAATACATTTCCTCTTCTGCTGACAGATATTCACTCAGGCTGGTTGAATTGACCTGCCTCACTTCCCACACTTCCAAACCTGCCATGGAATGTCAAGTCATGCTGGAGGATTGTGATGCGATGGTTGTAAGTGTCACAGACATACACTCTGTTGTTGGTGTGGTTGTAGGCTATGGCCCATGGCGTACTGAACTGCAGTCGTCCACTGCCCTTTGAACCCACTGATGCTATGAACTGACCCTCAAGAGTGAATTTTTTCACACTATGATCCCCACCTACTACAATCACTGTGTTATCAGAAGAGATGGCTACTCCTCTTGGTTCAAAAAGTCTGCTTTCCTCTGGTCCTGTGTTTCCAAATGATCGCAACAGCCTGTGATTACTGTCAAAGACTTTCATACAGTTTGCATTTTGCTCACAGACAACGGTTTCCCCAGTTTTGGCAAAGGCAAGGTGACGTGGGCGGTTTATTTCACTAATTGTCTTGACATGAATACCTCTAAAGACGGTTTCAAACTTCATTTCTCCTAATTTCTGACATGCTGAACTCAAGTCTGCACACACCACACTAATCTCTTTCTCTGGACCCAACACCAGTTGCTGAGGTTTGAACTCTTCTGCCATCTCCCGTGCCCTCTCCTCCACTTGTCTCTTCATCGACAGCACCTCCTCTTGTGTGCCACTCTGCAGACTCCCCTCCACAAACTCCACACAGCTGCTCAGCTGGGCCTGCCTCAACTCGTGTCCGTCAATCCGGGCCGCCAGCTCCTTCTTCCCCTGACACACCTCACCATCTATCTGGGAGTGAAGCTCCCTCCTGCGAGCCTCTAGGATGGCCTGGAGCTTGTCTACTTCGGCATCTATCTGTGCCTTCACCTCTATACCCTGTCCATCTAGCCTGCTGGACCTTGCCTTCAGCTGTGCAATGGTGCTCCCTACACTAGCAAGTTCAGATTTGACGGGACCTAGGCAGGCAAGGATGGCATCTCTGTGTTTGGGGAAGGTGTCCGAGACGAGGTCGTAGTTGTGGTCGTGATGGGTCTTGACGGTGCAGTCGCGACATATCAACTCATCGCACGTCTCGCAGTAGATCTTGATGGGCTCTGTTGTGTGCTTGGAACACATGGAGCTCACCTTTTTGGGTGTCACCATTTTCAAGGCTGTTTCTTGAACTTGGTCGAGGGTGGATATTTCGTGTCCCTGCAATTCCTTCCATTTACGATGTGTAATGAGGCAGTGCTGGCAAATAAACTGGCCACAGTCTCGACAGAAACCCTGCACCTCTCCCTCCCCACACTTGTCACACTGCGCCTTCTCCGGGTCCCGCACCTTTTCCAAGATCTCCCTCACCTCAAAAAGGTGCTGGATGTAGAAGGCGGAGGGGAGGCTGGACACGCCCCCTTCGGGGAGAGGGGAGGGCTTGCGGCAGTTGGGGCACGGGGCGCTCAATTTGTCTCTCTGTGTCCCCACCAGTTTCTCCAGACAGGCCTCGCAGAAGACGTGGAGACAGGGCAGTACTCTGGGTCTGCGGTACTCCTCCAGACACACCGAACACGACAGCTGGTTCGACAGCTTCTCTAGTGCTTGCTGGGCTGGATTTTCAGTGGTGGCTTGTGGTTTTTCGGCCATTATTGCGGAAAGCACACAAGGATATCTGCAAGAAGTAGGTACACAAATCATAGTTGCAAAGTAGATACAGTTTGTGTTGGCCTCTATGCAACTACCTACATAAGGTCCCGCCGATTATGCAAACCTACTGCTTTCTTAGCTTCACACACAGTATTGGTGCCTTGCATAGCAGTAGGTATATACATGTATTATTGCTGCATAGTAAAAGTGAGAACTACACTTTTGCACAACACTGGCCTCTGTGTAACAACTAACTAAGGTTCCACCCAATATGCAGGCCTCTTTATTCTAGTACGTAGCTTCACACACACAGACACACACAGCTTTGGTGCCTTACCTAAGAGAGAGTGAGGTTCAAAGCGAATCAGAGTAACACCACAGCCAAATCTTCCCAGCAGAAAAATGGCCCTTGAAAAGTGTTTGCAGGAAGCAGGAAGAGATAGACTGAACCACAGAAGGCAATATTCATGGCCAGGTCCCAAAGAGTGGGAGGCACAAACTACAGTAAATAAGGCACTAAACCAATATTCATGGCTGGAGTCACAGATCACCCCACCACCCACCACCACCCCACCAGGTTAAAAACTACAGAACAGAGAAACAAAGAAAACCAGGATATGGTAATCCAACCAACACCTCACTGCCCTAGGCTAAGTAGGTGTTCAAGGCAGTGGTGTACAAACACAAGTGGCATGCTTGATGAGCTCCACGAGACTACCTTAGAACCAGCATGGAGTAGTTACATAATAGCTTGGTTACTTTACCTTAACACTGCCATAATGTATATACTCCCTTCCAGAGTGTGGGGAGGGTATGGAGTGGTGCAGTCTGCGGAAGACCACCATTGACAACATGACCCAGTACCTGGCCCGCAAGGAGGAGAGGATGCGCCACCAGAGAGGCTCGGCCAATAAGCTCCCCACCTCCGACACCACAGCTGACGAGAAATATCCACAGCCTCCTCCCGCGAAGAAGATTAAGACTCAAACTATGACTTTATGATGTGTTTAATTGTATAATATCGCTCCCCACATGAATTTTGTGTCAATCATGTGAGACGTCATATTGACTTGCAGCATGAAACTTGAGGGGGAACTCTTTCACTGTTTTCACATGTTCGGTGCGTCATTTTGTTCTGGGGTGTGGGTGGAAGATAGACCAATTATGTATAAAGCAATCCATGAGAGTTTAATCTCTCAACTTGTATTTACTAGCAAATCAACATAATTACACGCCAACAATGGCTAACCCTGAGCCCAATCTTCGTATTAACAATGAGACTAAGTTTTGGTATGTCTCCATCTGGTCTCCCTTTGTGTAGCTACCGTTTCCCCTTATAAAATCTTTGCAATTTCAGTTCATTGCGGAGTTTGTACTTTTAACTAGTCAACCAGTGCAAATGAGGAGGATGACTCCTCTGCTAATTCAGTACTACACATCATCACATATTACAAACTAATGTATGCACCATAATATTTCATGCATGTCTGCAGTAGTCAGATACTGAACAGTAATGTAGGGACACATCACACAGACTCATAGAGAGAGTCTCCACGCAGCAGCAGTGGTAGGCTGGGAGGAGGTGGAGGGAGGAAGGGCTTGTGTTTACCTCATATTCACCTTCAGCTGTACTTCCAGTCCCTCTCACTACATCGTAGGCCTCATTACTGGAGGTCTGGAACTGCTCTGAGCCCCTGATGGAACAAGGCACAGTTGACAGTAGAAAGAATAAAGTCCAATGATAGAAACCTCAATTTGTGGCACTTAACCTACAGATATTTCTTTCCTGAGAATGTGGGCATTTCTACGCCAGTGTTCGTGGAGGCTGCATAAACAGAAAAAAGTGTTTCACATGCTTTTGATGGTGGGTCCATAGTCATGTTACCTTTAGCTCTTTGGAGTTTTCTGATGAAAAAGACTATCAGGCTCTGAAAGGGACCAATAATACAATGCTATATAGCAAAAGCAGTTTTTTTTTGGTTAAATGGATAGCTGAGAAGAGAATAAGAGAGTGATTGCGAGGAGCACGTGGGTAGGATGCATGTGCTTCCATCTGAACTTGTGCAATAAGGGTTGTTTTCTCAGAGCCTATCAAATTTTGTCTCGCACCCGTACTGGATGTAAACTATTTACTCGTTATTCATTACGTAATCTAACCATGTCATTCGTATAAAAAAAGTGTATGCACATGGAAAACATTCAGATTTGAGACTCAGCCAGAGTCACGGAGAGATGAGCGTTGCCACGCGCAAGGCTAGTCATGCCACATATGCATGAATAACTGGTTCTTGGAATGACTGGGTTGGCTTGCTTCCTACAACTTTCTTTACATGGGAATGATTCATGCATAATCTGCTAAAATAGCACAGTATGGAATGGACTTCAACCTCTCACCTTGAGTCTCTACAGGGAGGGTAGTGACAGGTCCAGTACCAACACCATTGACTGCAGCCACTGACACAGTATACTGTGTGGATGGAGTCAGTCCAGAGATTGTGGCTTGTCTAGCATCTACATTAACACTAGCAGTTCCTTTCACCACTCCATCTGAGTTTGCTGCAGTAACTGTGTAGCCAGTGATCTCTCCATTTCTCTCAAGACAGGCCACCTCTCCCCACTGCAGAGTGACACTGTTAGCAGTGAGTGTACCCACTGTGATTGAGGCAGGAGAACCACTGGGAGCTGTAATAGACTAACACAGCTAACAACTAAGGAACTAGGCAATTGTACTGTCCCTTACCAGCTTCAGTGGTCTTTGCAGTAACAGAGTTACTGACTGGACCTCTACCAGCATCATTAAAGAGTTTCACAGTGATGGTGTACCTATTCCCCTCCTCTAGTCCAGTTATTGTATAGCTAGTGAAGCTGCCAGTCGTGATAATGCTTCCCTCATCCTCATTAGAACAGCCACGTGAGGTGTCTCTCTGCCACTGGACTGAGAAGCCAGTCACCACCGAGTCACTGGGGACACTACCAGTGATGGTGACAGTAGTGGCAGTGACTGTTGGAGTTGAGTCAATGTATGGAGCTGATGGAACTGTGGTGGGAGCAAAATATCTGAGTACACACACTGAGAAAATAGATTGTTTGTGGGGTGCTCATTGTAAACTGAAACACCTACCTGTGTAAGCTATGACATACCTAAACTAACCGTGACCACCAACGGTGCACTAGGTAAACCAGATGATGTGGCAACAATGGATATGGTGTATGTCTGTCCATTGGTGAGACCAGTCAGAGTGTAGCTGTTGGTAGAGCCAACATCAATATCCACATCACTGCCTGTGGTGTAGGAGATCCTGTAGCCAGTGGTATCTCCCAGTGGAGAGGGAGGAGTCCAGGTCACTGTGATACTAGTGGGACCACGGACTGCTGTCACACCAGTAGGAGGCGATGCAACTGGAGCATAAACAAGTCAATTGCCATTAAAAAAACCTAGTCAGCCAGCTTTTACAAATAGTCTACAAGCATTGAGGAACTGTACCGTAACAAAATGCATAATACCTGCTACAAAGATTGTAGAGGAAGCAGATGATGGCTTGTGATTAGACACAGTACAAGTGTATTCTCCTGCAGTAGTCACAGTCAGAGTGTGGGTGTACTGTGCAGTCACTGGATCATTCAACACAGTCTGGGTTCCTTGGGTGACAGTGGTGGAGTCTCTGGTCCAAGTGACAGTGGTAGCAGGTCCACCAGTGGAGATACAGGTGAGGGTCAGCTTGTCAGAGTCAAAGATCACATCTCCAGATATCGTGATGTTCCCTACAGTTAAATGTTAGTGAAATCAGCCAACCCAAGAGTCCCACTAGAGTGAATTTTTCATTCCCACGCGATGCCAACTCAAGCACATACTTGATTAGTTAGCTACAAGGTATTAATAGGTGAGATAATGGGCGACTATAACCAGCCACAGTGCTACAAACAAAAATGGCTCATAGTTTCTTCATGTAGAGGGCAATGATTACTGAAGTATTAAGATCATGAAGGCTTACATATAGTTGCTTTCATGCTCTTTAGCCATCATAAGTACGTAACAAAAGCATTTACCTCCACTGGCAGTATACAGTCCCACATAGACTGTGTCTCTCACTGAGATGTCAGTATCATCATGGACAGCATTAGTTGGGATATCACAGCGATAGATACCAGTTGGTGAGGTACCATGGTTACGACGTAAGTCAACTCTCTGAGCTCCACGGGTCTCATAGATACCGCCAATTCCAGTGAATGGCAATCTCGTTCCATTAGGGAAGTACCAGTCTCCACGATGAGAACCCTGAGCATTATTACAACATGTGCTGAGGTCAGTATGACACTGAACACTGTCACTACCACTGCTGTCATTCCCCACTAGACTGAGGTCCACATAGGAATGGTTGGCCAGAGTCTGGCCATTGAAGGAGACATAAGGAAAGGTCTGAGAGTGGACCTCCACCAGAGACCAGAGGAGACTCAACAGACACACAACTCTCATCGTTCATCTGTTGCACATTCCAACCAAACCTGCCAAGTTTTTATAACCATGGGAAACAGAAACTACCAGCCCTTCCCTCACCTTTAGTCAACCGTGAGGGTTTCTTCATGTCTGGTACCCAATACATAGCTAAGTGCGCAGTCTTGTCATAGTCATTGAGTTCCGCCGCCGAGTATAAGCTGTCAGTTGGACACTTACGCCAGGCCGAACACGACACTTGTGTCAGGTTTCAATGAGTATGGAAGGTGAGAGTATGTGTGGGATGTAATACACACACACACACCAGTATCATGTGTAAATGTAAGGTCATTATACTAAAACAGAAAATTAAAATTAGCTGGGCTCTATACTATTTACTTGTCAAACAGAACTTCAACAGCATTCCACAGATAAAAAGATAGGAGACACTCTAGGTTTACAGGCATTCAAAGAAAGTTTGCCAACTTGAAAAGAGGCACGAGGCAGTCAGCGGGGAGAGCCCTAGGCTTTCTAGATGATATCTAGTAAGTGTCCCCCTGAAGCTTAGCAAGCAGACACAGGGCTTTTTCCCCTCCTAATCTTGCCGCCCCCTTCATGATTATTAATTATCGTCCCCCGTTGGATCAACCTCTAATGAACGCGTGTCCAGGAGCTCAGAGCTGGTGGTGTTGCGGCTGTCATCTGATGGAAGGTTCAAAAGGTCACCTGCCATAGTCACCCTGTCTGTGTCTCCTGTGGAGCTATGCATTTGATTGGTCGGACCGACTGTGGGTGTGTCTGCCCCATCAGCAAGACCCTGTGCAGTGCTGGCAGTTTGAGGGTGGAAAAGGCATGAATATAGCATACTCCACCAAATATATATTTTTATAGCTGTGTGCTATGATTTTTGGAGCCACAGTTAACTTTATGTTCACGTTGACTGTATTCCTGTTTTGCACTGATGATGGTCTGCGTGACTGAATGGTCTTGTGTTTCTGAGATCTACAATTCTGTGAACTTTTGTCAGCAATACAGTTTCATATTCTCTCTCTGTTTCTTACAGTGTCAGAGATGTTCAAGTCCACTTCAAGAAAAGCTCAGTAACTAGGATACCTTCAGAGGTAACTTACCTACAACAGGGTTTTTTTTCTAAGGGAGGAAGAAAGCTGTGGGTGCAGCCAAACTTTACAAGTGCTGTAGGTTGTTTTATGATTTGAAGGCGGTTAAAAATTGGCGGGCAGTTCATCCACTGATGTTCAATTAGTGAGCCAAAGTGTTACTTTCAGCCAGCAGTTATAAATTAAACCAGCAAATATGATGTCGTTTCTGTTGATACCCACTTCGTATGTTCTCACACAAGATATGTCTCTCTTCACGGCAAACATTACAGGTAGTTGCCATAATAATTATATAGTCAGGTAATACACTTTTATAGTTTCTACAAACAGAGTTGCCAGATGAGGGGGAGAGTGAAAGTGGTGATGTCATGTATGTGATAATAGGCGTCCTCTGTTTCTTGCTGCTGTGTGGAACACTAGGAATTATTGCCCTTTCCATCAAAAGGTGGCCCAAAAAGAAGACACCAGTAAAGTTATTGCACCAAGTTTAACATGCAAGTAGCTATAGGTCAAAAATCTCTGCAAGTGGTGAAGTCCCAACCTCAACCAATGAGGCATATTGAAAGAGAAAGGGGCAATGAGTTGTTGAAGATCTCTAATGGAGAACCTCCTCCTCGCAGCAGGCCTCTCCCCACAATCCCTTTCCCTCTGTCTGGTGGAACAGAGGAGAGGAGGACTGTACTACTGCTGTCTATGAGGTCATTCATGGATATCTCTGACTCGTCTAGTTTGAATATTGACTCTAAGATAATGAAAGGCACTGAAGTGCTAACCCTCGGCGCAGTGGGCGTGATTAATTTGTATACGCGTGCTAAAGTATACATACTACTAAGCTGCTATATGTCATCATGGGCTGGCTACATCAGTAGGTTAGCAATTGTAGCTCCTTGCCATCCTGTGCACATCCTGATGTCTGAAAGGTGTA